CTGTTGTTGGTTCTTTGTGATAGTGCATCGACTCACTCCTGGGTGTCTTCGTCACTCGTAAACCGTCTCGGCTTAGTAGGGGAGCCCGTTAACTTGTCAATTAGTGGTTTCAATTCAACCACCCTTGTTGAGACTCAGAGGGTCAAATTTACAGTTTCCTCCGAGCCGAATAATAGTGATTTCGTATTTTCTCTCTGTGCATATGTTAAAGACAATATTCGGATTGGTTCCGAATTAATCAATATTGCTGATTTGCAGAAGAAATATCCACAATTAGCACCTATTCAGCCCATTCAATATATTTATGAGGACGTTGAAGTTATTATCACTACTACAAGTTATTAAGACTACTACCACGCCGTTAGACCCATTGAGTTCATCTTGGGAGATGATAAAAACTCACCGTGTTCCGTTCGTCTACCGATAGGTTGGGTCTTAAGTGGTCCGTTGCCGCCGTCCGGTAATTCTACTTCTTCGTGTTTCAAGTGTGTTGTTGAAGATTCTTCTCTGACCGACCAGATAAAATCCTGGTACGAGTTGGAATCGTATGGTGCTTTCAAACAAGTCGATGCCCGTTCCGCCGCGGATAAACATGCTTTATCCATCCTAAATTCTGAAACCGTTCACAATGGCGAAAGATACATTGTGCCTATGCTTTGGATTGATAGTAATGTCAGTCTACCAAACAATTATTACTCGTCACTCGCCCAATTTAAATCATTGGAGAGAAGGTTAAGTAAAGACCCTGAGCTGCGCGAAAGATACGCAGAAACAATTAGAGAGGACATTAGGAAAGGCTATGTCGTTACCGTCGAACCGCATGATCCACGTAAGCGTTCCGATCGCGAGTGGTATCTTCCGCACCATCCCGTCGTAAATCCGAATAAGCCGGGCAAGGTGCGCCGAGTCCTTAATGGGGCTTCTAAGTTTCACGGCATATCCTTAAATAAGTCCTTATTGGTGGGTCCTGACCTACTCCAAAATTTAATTTTTGTGCTTTTGCGATTCCGTCAACACAAGTACGCCGTCTCCGCGGATATAAAGGGTATGTTCCTCCAGGTAGGAGTCCTTGCCCGCGATCAAATTTCGCTCCGTTTTTTGTGGCGGGAGGATACCACTTCCGATGTGGTAGTTCATCAGTACACTCGCCATATATTCGCCGCACGGGATTCGCCTACGTGCGCCGATTTCGCGTTGCGAAAAACAGCAACTGATAATATATCCACATACCCTGAGGCCGCCTCAGTCGTAAATGAAAAATTTTACATGGACGATTACTTGGATTCATTCGAGAACGTTACCCAAGCAATTAAAACTAGTCGCGATTTGGTTTCCTTTTTAAAATTACGAGGATTGAATTTGACTAAATTTGTCAGTAATGCTGATGAAATCACTTCAGCAATGAACCCCGAGGAATCCGAAACCTAATTTTCACCCATCAAGGAAATATGTAACGGTGCCGAACAATCATCACACGTCTTAGGTCTTAAGTGGGACCATGTAAAAGACACATTGGTTGTTAGCAGAGGCGTGGATCGTCCTCTCGATAAAGCAATAACTCAACGAACCGTCTTGAGTTTCGTCTCTTCTGTGTTTGACCCTGTTGGGCTAGTAGCTCCATACACAGTTAGGGCCCGTCTTTTACTTAAAGATATTTGGAAAATCAGTGGTCAAAGTTGGGACAACGAATTGCCAGAAGACATAAGAGATAAGTTTCTCGAGTGGCACTCCGGTCTCCCTCTCTTAGGGCAATTGACTATTCCCCGTTGTTACTTCTTTTTGCACGCTTTACGTTCCGGTTCGCAGAAGCACGGAAAAAAGATGGGGATTTCTTTTTACTTGCCTCACCACCAGGGCTGTACATCTTGAGATTGTACCATCTCTGGACTCCAGTTCGTGTGTCATGGGCATTGAACGGTTCGCTGCGCGCCGTGGTACGCCAAGCACAATCTGGTCGAATAATGGCACGAACTTCGTTGGTGCGGAAAAGGAATTACTTGCCTGCATCAAGAGCTGGAATGGCATGGCTCCGACCATTTTTGAACACAAAGATGTTACTTGGAAATTTAACCCGCCAGCCGCACCCCATCATGGCGGCTCATCGGAACGCCTCGTCCGAAGCGTGAAGCGCGTGCTGTACGATATCCTAGGCAGTAGGCGAGTCACTGAAGAGGTGTTAGGAACAACACTCTGCTTAGTTGAACAGGCTTTGAATTCGAGGCCAACCACTCCCGTTAGTACCGATTCACGTGAGTTAGAAGCGTTAACCCCAAACCATTTTTTGCTTGGACAACATGCCACAAGCTTTCCTTCGCTTTTACCCGGGGAGCACTTCGATCACAAGAAAAGGTACGTGCGAGCGCAGTCATATGCTAACGCGATTTGGTCTCGTTGGCTTCGAGAATATGTTCCCTCGCTGAATAAGCGTGTCAAGTGGCACACTCATTCTGACTTCACTCTTAAAACAGGCAGTCTCGTGTGGGTGATTGAGCCCGATAGTCCGCGTGGGTACTACCCTCTTGCCCGAATCGTCAAGCTAAACTACGGACAGGACGGTTGCTCCCGATCCGCCCTTGTCAGGACCTCAACCCGTGAAGTCACGCGGCCGACCGTTAAGCTCGCTCCGGTTCTTTCTTCTTCAGGGGGGGGGGAGGATGTTGCAATGCAAAACAAGAGTACAGAATAAAACAAGAGTATAGATGCATATAAAATAAGCACAGTTGGCCGAGTGGCCTAAGCTAACGCCGATTATATAGGTTAACAGTTGACGTGGGTTCGAGTCCCCCACCTGCCCATGTATTAATATACTAAAAATGGGGGTTACATCCTATTTTAACTGTTTTTTGGTTCTAATTCGGTTCAGCCTTGATTAAGGCTGACCGCCAAAAAGAGCAATTTGTCTCAAGGACATTACCGACCGGTTCTTGTGGCTAGCTTGCGCGAAATTATCTCAAAAACGAGTTGTACCGAAACAAGTTGATTTTGTGATCTTGATTATGCAAACCGTTGACATTGCTTATTTCTTGTTATGCGTGTTTACCGAAAAACACTCATAATTTAATTTGTCTTATACAGTTTTTTCAGATTGAGCGCTTAAAAAGAAACCAAAAAACTTGAGTCGAGATATTTGAAAATAACACCAGCTGTAGCTTAGTCAATTCTAAAAAAAACAGCAATAATCAATTCCATTTTATATCAGACAGAAGATATCACAAGCCACATATTAATGCTTTTTGTTCCGATTTTCAAAGGAAGTGCGGAATATTTATGCTTGGGGATTTTTTCCGTCTATTTTTGAACTTTTAACCACACATTTTTGACGAATACCACTTGAAAGATAATATTGTCCTGAGCTCAAATTAATTTTGAAAAATCATTTATGACAACTATGAAAATTGCTAATTTAGTAAATTTGGGATAATTAACGCGCAATATTTTGCGTTCTTATATCACGCCCAAGCGGCGAATTATTGCGTTCCAAATTGGATTGGAATGTATTTCATTACACTTGAAGCCCGCTCTGCTTATTTTTGGTGGTTCGTAAGATCCCGTTGTCTGTCCTCTTCAAATTTCATTACTGTTCCGACTTTCATTATTGTTTCGACGTAACGTAATATTTGTGCTCGGGGTGTTTTTTTTTCTTTTCTGCAGTTAAGTTTTGACTTTCTAACTAGCCATTTTGATATACTTTTTATATACTATTCGAAAGGTATTGTTGTCCTGAGCTTAAATTTAAAAAGATTTTTCAAAGATGGCCATTTCGGTACAATTAAGCGCGATATATTTCGCGTAAGCGGAGTAACGCGTAAGCGGAGATTTAATCCGTCATAGAAATTGTTCCAAATTGGTTAAAGAAGCTTTTTTGCCATAACTCATTTGTTACTAGGAGCAAAATCTATCAATTTGTCCTGTATTTTGCGAGAGGGGGGATGATTTTCATTTTATTGTTCCGACTTTCGATACGGTACGAAAGTAACGGAATATTTGTGCTCGGGGTGGGTTTTTTTTTCTTCAGACAAATTTTGACTTTTTAACTAGCCATTTTTGACGGAATTTTTAAATGTCATTCGAAAGGTATTGTTGTCCTGAGCTCAAATTTGAAAAGATATTTCACCTGTGATCATTTTTCGTAAAGTTTCCGACAATTAATGCGCGATATATTTCGCGCGGCGCACAGACAATTCGGCCAAAGACAATTCAGCCAATTTGAAATTCAGACAATTCAGCCAGAAATATACAGACACTTCAGCCTGAGACAATTCAGCCAGTTTTACAAAACGCTAGATTCGGAAGGAAAAAAAATGGAATTGGAGTTATTTCTCGGTTTAAGGTCGCCGGCGATAACCGGCTCTAAATTTCGTATAGAGTCCTACCCTCTGTTGGCAAGCTCGCAACACGTTGGCGCGACTGCGGCGGTCCCAATTATTGGCTGAATTGTTTTTGGCTGAATTGTCTGCATAATTTTGGCTGAATTGTCTGAATTTCAAATCGGCTGAATTGTCTGTGGCCGAATTGTCTGGACGCGATTTCGCGCTATTAACGCGTAAGCGGAGAGTTAATCCGTCTTAGAAATCGTTCCAAGTTAGTTAAAAGAAGCTTGTTTGCCATAATTGGCGTGTTACAAGGAGCGAAATCTATCCTTTTGTACTTTATATGGCGTGTGGGGGGATGATTTTCATAAAAAAATTTCAAAATCCAGAATTTTTTTTTATTTTGTTATATTTCATTGAATTTTTAAATGTTGTTACTGCTTCATAAACCTTAAAAGGCAGTCGGAACATTCAGGGCTTCGCCTTGATACGAGCAGTCTTGCTTTATTACAATTAGTCTTTCCATGTTAATACTGTTCCATAGAGCTTAAGAGGCAGTCGGAACATTCAAGCTTTGCCCTGATACGAGCAGTCTTGTTTGATTCAACATAAACTTATTGAACGAATAGTTGGAGAAATAAAAACTTCCTTTCATTCTGTGTTCATAATCTGGTCTTTGAAGTTACTTACAAATATTCTTGCGGCCAATAGTCACTAAAACATTATCGAAATATTAGAGGGTTACAATACTATGATAAGAATACTAGATGAGAATTTATCAAAACTCACTACGAGAGGTCTCTCCACGCAGGTGTCTCTAAACATATAGATGATTTATTCAATAATTATGCGTTTACTCAGAGGTGTGCACAAAGTTTTTTGACCGGTTGGGGGACATAGTTATTTGAGGTCAGCCTCAACCATATTCAGCAACCATTTCTGCACCGCCAGTGGTTTTTTGGAACGGCACGCAACTGCATAAGGTAATTAATACTCAAAGACAATCTCTCCAATCATAAATAATTTATAACTCAAGGGATGCCACGCAAAAATCTCATGATCAATAGCAAATTATGAACAAATGATGTACTAGAAGTTTAATTTTTCATTTGAAGCAAAAACTGTCATTCAATTTTTAACCAGCAAAAATTAGTAGACAGATATGGCTCAGTTAAGCGTAATCTTATTGAGCCAACCTGTTGAACTTTGACGTCGATTTCGCTTCTTATTTCCTTTCTTCTTCCTTTTTTGCACAACTTTATTCTCATCTCTCATCACAAAAGCCTTCGCTCGACCAGTCTTTCGTTCGGACTCAGCTATTTGTTTTTTGCTTTGAGCGCGTGAACCGATACCCCGTTTCGTTCGTCTTGGGAAAACACCTGAAATATTTATATCAAAGTGGTCATGGCAACTTCAGGAGTCGGAAAAAGTTAAACGTCCGATTTCGTAGTAACTTCACCTTCAGAAGTCGTTGTAACTGCAAGTGCAGGAGTCGTTGGAATCCAATCAACAGAACTTCCCCCAGCATACTCAGAACCGCCACTTTCACTACCAGATCCATCACCGAAATCATTCGGATAATAATACTCTGAAGGCGATCCAGACCAATTAGAGTCTATATCATACTGCCAGTACGATATGTTGAACCCCTTTCGTCTCTCTGAAAAATCGGCGAAGAACTCAACAACCAGAAGATTGCTAGGTGAGTGGAGCATAGGAAGAGACCCCATTTGAGGAATGTGGGATGCTCTTATTGTTCCACAAAGTTCATAGGATCCCCAGAGCGAGATCGGAACTTCCTGTTCGCCAGAGTAGAAGGCTAGATAGTCGAAACAATCTTCTTGTAGACCCTCTTCGTCATTTTCGCTCTCAATGTTAAGAGGTGGGTTCACTAAGAGGACTATCCCTTTGTTACCTGAAATGTTTCATATTGCAATATGATAGGTATTGCACACGTATAATGCACAGGTATCGCCAAAATGACAGGCAAAAATTCTCAGTCTGATTTTCTTAACAATTCAGCATTTTCACCCAGTTTTTTGGTGGGAAAGTTCATAAACTAACTTTCCTTTGCTGTGATGATCCAGTCACAGTCCAGATTGTTAGAGTACAGAGCATTTTCCGAGTAGCCCTCACTTGTAAAATACTGTTCATAACTCCTCGCCTGAAGCCACTGCGAACAGCCCTTTGTGCAGTAGAACTAAAAACATCCAAAAATCACGACAGTCTTGATTGTCAAACTTTGCAAAAAAAGGTTCATTTTTATGCTTTTATCAAACACCTCCCCTCATTTGGCAATATTTCACAAGACACACTTGAGAAAACCCGCTTGGCGCAAATTATCAATGATTTTGCGAGAAGACCGATGTAGGTATTTACAAAAATATTGGACCTGGCTAGACGAATTCAATGGAGAAGTCGTTGTTTCGAGGCCCACCGTTCTCCTCGTGGATATAAATTGTAAAAAATGAGCTACGATATGACACGCGGGGGATTTCTTCGGAAGCCCTCAAGGATAGCAGCTGGGTTATTGGTCCGAGCATTCTCAGGACTACTGATTGGCCGTTTATACCCGACGAACGTGTAATCAATAAAATTCGTTTGAAGGGTCCTTCTTGTGATGTTGATAATTGCTTGGAGACATCATCTTCCTTCGTCACCGATGTCACATCCATCAAACATCCCGAACACGGGTTCAATTGGGAAAGGTTCAGTTCCTTTACAAGATATAAACGAGTAGTCGCTTTTATGTTGAGGATGTTGCCTTCACATAAGCATTTTCGTGGCAAGGACTTACGAATCACCGACCCCACTGAACTTGATATTGCAGAAAGCAAACTGATTCATCTTGCTCAGAT